CAACGATGCATTCCGCGTAGGAATACCGAGTTATGGGCAACACTTGATTAGATGGATTGGTGCCCCGGTGGTGTAATCGGTAGCACAAAGGCTCGAGAAGCTAGTGATGTGGGTTCAGTTCCCGGCTGGGACGAAAGTTTTGTCCGTAGTTCAGCGTTTTGTGAAAATATTTGAATTCGTTTTGACGCTTTACAGAATTTCTTATTAGATTCTTCCAGATCTCTGAAATGGTCAACGGCTACTTGAACTCAGTCCTTTAGGCCGATGTCAGACTTTGCGAATCGCGCGATTCGCTAGCGTCTGCGGTCGCGTCGCGGCCAGTGAATCACTCAATTGGCTGGTACCGCAACGCGACCGCGGACGCTAGCGAATCGCGCGAATCGCGCGATTCGCAAAGTCTGACATCGGCCTAAAAGCGTCCAGATGCTGCCCTTGCTAGCGCTTACTCGCCTAATTAATATCGTGACGACTGTGAACTCAGACGCTCCAGCTTTTTCACGTGATGTGGCTTTCTCACCCTCCACCGTGGTCCCTAGCATTCCTGACTAGTTCATGGGTCCTCTTGCTAGCGATGTTTATAGCTCAAATGGCACTGCCCTCTACCCTTCTGCGCTCTAGCCTTTCGCGACAGACAGCATGCAGGAAACTTCGAGCAGTATGGTAACCCTCTTGAAATGGCCTGAAATGTTTGTTGCAGGAAGCGATTCTTACTGGTGTGCCGTTGATCACAATTCCACTTTTTGGCGATCAGCCGAAAAATGCTCGCCTGGCCAGAAGCACCATGGTTTCGGACTTGTTCTGCACAAGGCTGAGCTGACAGTTTCCGCTCTATCAGCTGCGATTCAGGAAGTCCTTACAAATCCGGAGTGAGTTCCTATTTTCACAAAATGAGCAGCCTTTCTGTAAGGGAAAAGTGCTTTTAGGTACAAAAAACGAGCTGAACGGCTGTCACAAATGACCAAACGTCAACCGGTTAGCCCCGCCCAACTTGTAGTGAAATGGTCCGAATTTGCCGCAGAATTCCAGACACTTGAGAATCTTGAGCCAGCGGGGAACAAAGCTGAACTTCTTCCAGTATCACTCCTTAGATGTAATCGCTTTCTTAACATCGGTCTTGCTTATGGTTGTATTACTTACTGTCATAGTGACGAGATTACTGTGGAAGACTTTCTTCATTGTAATTTTGAGGTCGGGCAAACAAAAAGCGGAGTGATTTCGATTAGGTTTAAATTTACATGAAATTACATATAATAAATCTTTATTCTGGAACTAATCGATCAATCCGTATCCTAGAAACAACAGCAAGATTCGACCCGTCGTAAGTGTCTTGAGTGTAAGCGATTGAGGCAAATCACAGCTAGTACAAGTGGCAACATTTCAGAAGGAAAAAGTGAACTGTGAGCGTCAGAAAAGGATGGAAGAGTGGAATCTGGGAATCGCCAGATTTCAAGTTTCCCACGTAAACTATAAAAAGGATCACTGGGCAACAAATATTGACAATAGCGGATCTAATAGGACCGGTTCTACAGCACCACAGCAAGTTAGAGCCTCGAAAATGTAGTACTAAACAACTACCAAGAAAAATGAAGGGCAGGCCACGGTCTTCAGCGGCATTTCGTCCATCAAGTGTAGGACTCCAGCAGCTTTTGGGCTAGGAACCAAGATTTTCTTGTTCTGGCCAGTACGGCCAGTTCTTCTTCATGTACCATTCAGGTGGTGTGTCAGGAATTCTCCCACAAAAGTATCGATATATCGTCAACGAATAGAATTCCCTGAAACACCAATGGACATCCATGGGAGCAGCAGAAGCGATAACCATGCAATATTCTTTGATATTGTTCCATTAAAAAACTTCACAATGTAAGAATGTTTTTAATGTACTTATTTATTACAATAATCTTAGTGGTGGAAATTATTGGGGGGGGGGGATTCTGTATGATAAAATAAAATTATTGATTCTGTATATCATTAAACTATTTTGTTTGTCGAACCAAAATTGCTTTTGTTTTTCAATTTCAATAATATTGTATTGTTTCTTTTCCAAAATTTATATATGGGGTGGGAAAGCCATGCTATAATGGACGTTTTCTCAGATAATTCTCGAATACAGCGGTTTTCACAATGTGCCGAATACTGATCCTTGCCCCTGGAATGAGCCACATTCCGATTTCCTGCCCATCAACGTCGAAAAGCAATTGAAAGCTATTGAGCCTGGATTATATTTATCGGTGCAATGTTTTCGCATGAATTTAACCTAACTCAAGAACTCATCATTAACTGTCGGATTTCCGGGAAGCGATAGATTAAATTGGTGTAGAGAGGATTCGATGCAGATTATGCAGGTGCGATATGTCGCTTCTTTTCACTAGACCACTAAAACCAGGACAATACACTATTTCGTTGTCCAGATATTGCGTCAGAAAATGGTTAAAGGCAGCCCCGATAAAACTGGTGTGTTGCATATGGGCGCTTCGTAGTGACGATTGAGCTGCGGAATGAACTGCAAGTGGAAAGGAAATCAAGAGAAATCATAGGAAAGGCTAAAATCGAGGCCTTTAGTTACACTAACGTCGGATGTGGGTACGATGGCGAGACAGGGCGATCAAAGAAGGCAAACCACTCGAGAGGAGCATTGCCGTTCGAGGGAGCACGGTGATCTCCATGAGCGTCCACCCTCGCCGCGAGGTGGGTTGGAAGCGTTGCAACGAGGGTCGATTGGTTGCAGGTTCGTAATGGATTAGCGCCCTCGCAATTTGGGCAACGAAGCTGGCACGATCTATGAAGGCACGGATCCCAAAATTTCCCTCGCGGTATAATTCCTACTAGTCGGGCTAAGCCCGGGGTTTGCCTTGGAGCAAAATTGAGCTGAAGCAATTTCCTAGTTGATTATTCTTTCTCTAGCCAGCTCAATATATCATTTTAGACATCTACCTTCCCAAAAAAGTTCGCTAGCAATTGATCAAATTCAGAGGACTGGAAGATTTGGTGAGCCTGGGCTAGACCATACATGGAATTCGATTCCTCAGAATGGTGCGTGGTAAGCGGCGCCCATTGCCGTTTAACTGCCTCCTATCCAGCTGCTGTCTGACGTTAGTTATGATAAGAAAAATTTTCAAAAAATAAGCATAGATAACAAAATTATGATTCCTCCTGCGACTTTAAACGAACAGATCTCTACACAGTTCTTATAACTACAAGAAATTTTATCGTGTTTCACATTAAAGCGAGTAGAAAAACGCATACCCTTTCTCGTCATAGTCCCGCCGGATATTTGAGATCAAGTCGAAGTAAATGACATCCTCATCGTTTTTATCGTACTTCTCTTCAGCTTCGAAAAACTCGCCTCGTCGAACGATCACCTGTACAACTCAATTGATAAGACGGAAAACTGATAAGTACTGCGCCCTGACATTTGTCGGAAGCAAATATTCACAAGAAAAAAGGCACTATTTTCCCTTTCCCTACCCCCATTTTTCGTTGCATTGGCGAAAGCTCAGTTTAGCAAGAATTTCATCCTCGAGAGAAACCTGATCTTCTGAAGAGAAATATCACACAACTTCGCCCCGACCTGACACTAGCGCTAAACGACCAACTGCACTAGAATCTCTAAAACTTGTATTCAGGGATTGCCTGTTACTCTGGGTAGGTTACTGTTACTCTGGGTTAACGTTTATTTTAGTCGCAAATACAGTATTTGTGTTTTCGGGAGTAACAGCAAGCGGCCCAACCAGGTGCTAGGAGCAACGGAGCCCTAGTTCATCCGTCAAGCACTTGCCTACTAAATGAATGTGGTATTGGTCCTCTGGAGATCATATCTGACTGAAGGACAAGTTTTGAACGCCTTGATGTTCCGGTGTATTTTGGGGCAGGTGCCTGCGACGTGGACGCAAGCTGTTCTCGCGCCAAAATTGCAATTTTGAGCCGAAAGATTCGCCTCACCATTGATGACGAGTTTCTAGCCAAGCCTACAAACGGAACGAACTACGACGGCATCGAAATCCATATTCCGAAAGTTGGTAAGCAGTGCCGAAAATGGTCTATTACCAGTCGTTCTGGGCATTCCAGATCAAGGTCACGAGAATTGAGCACAGGTCAAGGTAAACTGAAGCAAAGATGCCCTGAGTACGGGAAGACCGACTGACTCTGCCACGCGGCACACGCTTCAGGTGGAGGGGTACGCGACATCATGCGACGGAATCGCTACGACCGATGAAGAAGCTAACGGAACAGAGAAAGGAAGAAGAAAATCAGAAACATGTAAGGTAAAGAAACCAGCAGAGATACCGTTTCCAGAGTGCCTTATGTGAGCTTTTGAAAGAAAGACATCCGAGGGTCACTTCCATCGAAGTCCTCATTCAAATTCCAAGCAATCGAAGGTCTGTACTTTGACAACCAACTGCACCAGCGAGAAAAGGGTAGATTCAACCCCAGAGGGATAGAGTTAACTACCAATACCCTGCTGCGCGTTTTCCATTCTTCCGTATCCTAAGATTGAAAGGTACAAGAACGTGAACTATGAACTTGGACGTGATGATCTCAAGACATTAGGTCTTTCTCAATATGACATCTTTCGTGGAGGGTATGAGGATAGATCCTACAACTGAGTTCGATCAAAACACGCTCGTTTTGACGCCTTCCGGTCTTCGCCTCGCCAAAAAAAAGCTAGTTTGTAGAAAATCCTTCTAGTGTACGGTAAGTGATGGAAAGGTGTACAAAGAAGTATATTTCAGATCAAACTCACATTGCTGAACATCAATTGGCCGTACTTTTCCATAAGGTCGTATTCGCAGCACTGTAGAAGCAGTCTGGAAAAGAACGACAATTTGAATAAACCAAAATTCCGGGAGAACTAAATTCACATAGGGAAATTATCAGCTGTAATGCCCCGCCAAATGGCGCACTTACTCGTCGTCAACGGTTTTCTGCAGACCACCAACCCATGAGGTGTTGCTCTGAACACGACTTTGCTTCGGCTCGTTCTGGGCATTCCTAAAAATGTCGCGTTATCACTGTGTTAGTCGGAACTCCTACCGTAACTTGGCATTATTCACTTACCGCGTATTTCTTTTCGTGGCAGTTAGGCCGTGAACAAAGCAGCGCTAGATGGCCGTCTTTGTGAACCTGAAAAACTTGGCGAAAATAACTATAACTATATATAACTGAAGTTTTTTATTACCTACATAGTTCTCTTCATATCTTACATTTTAACCCACACTCGAGCCTAAGCTCTCCTGAAAAAATGATCTATTAAGCATAATTCATTATGTAATTATGACCAAAGCCCAAGCCTAATCTGCCAGTCTGTATCCCAGAACCCTACCCGGAGTGAAAAGAAAACTCATTGACCAGGATAAAATCTGTTCCGGGATGTGACACTGAGACCGTCCGCTGGGTAGGTGGCCACCTTCGCATTACACAAGCTCTGCTCAGAAATTCAATATATTAATGAAAATAAGAACAGCTGCAGGAGCAAACCGAAATTGGATCCCTAAATCATATTTCTCGTCTCCTGGTTTTCCCATCACTGTCTCAAAAAACCTTGCAGCAAGGGAAAGCTTTCTATTGTATGCGCTGAATTAGTGTTTTCATACAGTACCAAAATTATGATCTTTTGCGCGGATGGGTAGGTAATAGTGACACACTTTACCATGCGGTTCAGAGCCTGGATCGCATCCCTTCCCCCCCCCCCCAAGCAAGCCAAGCCTTCGATTTCTTTTTTTCGATCTCCAGTAAAAGCGAAAAAAGTAATACCCAAACATTAGAAAGAAAACTGGCTGGCACGCTCGATGACGCCACAATTCTAATCTGACGCATACACAAACGATCTCATGGTCTAAAAGAGAGCTCGATGCGTGGCGCACAAACCACAGAAGGACTAATGCCAGCAACAGCTTAAATTGATTCGTAATTCAAAATTGAATGTCAAAATGCTTACCTCAATCCCGAAGGGAATACGATTATTGCCGCAAAATTCAGCATTACTTATGGCTGACAAGGTCATAGCCATTAAAGCCGATATTGCTCGCAAAATCATCTGAAATTAACCGAATCAAATTAAAATTTATATTGACCACCTGTGCTTCAATAATTCACGACGTTGGATGCTCAGAAAGAGATATAATGACAAGAAAAGGATATTCAATAAGGAGTTATGGTCAGTCACAAATCGATAGGAACGATGACAAAAACAATTCAAGAATTCAACAGCTTGATTTCGAAGAAGTTTTTTCATGGAAAGAAAATCTCATTCCATTCACAAGGAACTATTTCAAATTCAATAGAAATAAGTAAAATAAACAGGAAAAATAAAAATGAAGTAATTTGAACCGGTGTCTGTATTGAACTGTAGATTGATCTTAATGTTGAAAATACTATGAAGAACAAATGAAGCTAAATTGTGTTAAACAAATAAACAACAATAAAATAGAAAACAAAATAAAACACAACTGGGATTTTCATAAGAATGCTATATTGTGAAACAAAACGAGTTGTGACCAAAAACAGCAATAACAAACAAAAACAAGAAAATTGGGATTCATATGAATTTTTTTTACGCTTTATTTCACAGTGAACTCTTTGTGAATCACAAGTTCCTAATATTTGAAGTGAGCTAAATTCGATTTAATTTGAAAAAGAATTGAATTAAATTCAAATTTGATAAATGGCGTTTTTTAATGCTGGACGGCGAAGCAATCCGAACTAAGCCTGAAAGCTTTGTGGAGCGAAAAATGTGAAAAAAAGTGAAAAAGAAATACAAAAAAGATATTTCTGAGCGTAAAGCGTGGAGAGAGTATCAGGACAGAAAGTATCAGTCTCCTCACATTCCCGTACCTCCCCCTGACCTTTGAGTGACAGTACGAGAAGAGCAGGGTTTTTAGAAGCTTAAGACATAACAGTGAGCTCGAGGTGACAGCGGCAACTGTCTTGTTGTTGATACCGTCTATTTGATCGATCGATAATCACTGGTTGCCAAATGGAATTCAGGCAGGCGGTGATGAATCGCGCTGACGAATCGTCACTTCACCCGAACGGCACGGCACCTATGGCTCCCAGAACC